ATTTATAATTTAAAATAAAATTAATCGAACGAGTAGGAGCCAGCTGATCGCATCACTCTTAATACAATGAATCAAAAAATGCTATTAACTCCTTTTATCTTATCTCAAGTTCAGGAATGTAAACACAAACATTTTATTGTGAATACTGACTGAAGACTCTAATGTCAGTGCCTATGGCATGATTCGTTCTATCAATATACTTGTAGTAGTTATATCCATATATAGTAGTTAAATTATTTAGCAAATGGTACTTCTTCGATTGCCCAAAACGAATATACGAGTTACTAATAAAGCGTGTATCTTATAGACATACGACTACATTTCGTAATATACATTATTTATTTTTTAACTAAGTAATATAAATTGGTCATGTTCTGTGAAATCGATGTAGTATGTATGTAAAAAGTAAAGATAAAAGCATGTTTCAAATTTAGATAAATTCAAGATCGAAATGATTTATGCAAGGGTTTTATGCCTTGGAGTTATTTTATTGATTACTGTGATACAGTTACAGCATATTGGAGAAAATAAGTATCGAAATTTCTAGGTACCAGGAAAAATATTGGCTTTGAACGTATTATTTCATATGTTTTTAGCATAGGTTGATCAAAGCTGGAATAAAATACGATATTTTCGATTGACATTATCAAATGATTTCCTGTTTTAAATATCACGATTTCTTTCCTCTTGAGAATGCCCAGACAGACCCGATGATCCATCGAGCTCGTTGGGTGCAAGCTCGATGCGTCAAATGCCAATGCCAAGAGCTTCTAATTGGTCTAGGCCGATGCAGGCCAGTTGACTTTGCCTATCACGGAAACTAAACACACCCACACATGCCTGCACATGTGCGGACACGTATGCGAGTGCGTGTGAGTTGGCGTTTGTGTGAATGTGTGAGTGTTTGAGTGTGTGGGCCAACCACAAAGCCGCTTGCACTATTCGGTCGACGATGACACGCATTTAGGTCAAATGCTGCTCTATTACGACTAAACATGTGCAATGCCGCCATTGGCTGTTGGCCAAGCGCTAAAAATGAACTGCAGAGGAGGGCCTACGCCCACACACACACACACACACACACACACACGCGCGCGCACACAAACACACGCACGACGGCCCGACAGAGCGGCCGAGCAAGCGAGCTGAAGCCAGAAGTCAAAACACGAAGCACAGACCCACAGCACGAGCACTCGGCACGTTGTAGGGAGCGCTAAAGCTAGTGTGACGTGCAAATGCCGACGGAAAAGCAAAGGCACGAGCACGCATGCATACCGACACAGCTACAAAGCTACACAGCTACACACATACACACCTACACATCTGCACTGAGCGACAGTGTGTAGCAAAAACAACTATGTCCGTGTGTGAATAGAGGCGCATAGAACAATGTTTTATGTGCGAGCGAGCCGACGACAGGCAAGGACGATTTGCTAACCGAAAGCTAACGAAACTTTCGTTCTGCCACCGCGCACTCCTCCACCCCGCCCCACCCCTCCCCCAGTCGACACCTGACGTACGCTCTGATTAGAGGCTGGCACGTTGCTAAAAAGCAAAGCGCAAAACTTTGCAAAACCGACAACGTCCACGACAACCGAATGCTTTGACGACGCCACTGTTGGCTATGGCTCTGGCTCTGGCTCTGGCTCTGCCAGTGGCCTCTGACTATACTACAAGTACTATGTTACCAGCATAGAAGAGCTGTGGATGTGTGTGGCTTGTGTTGATGTGGCTGTGGCACCGACGAGGCCGGCATACGAAATGCATGCAACGATTTGAAAGGCTTCTAAGTCCTCATTGGCAATGGCGATTGTCATGCGCAAATGCAGCTAGTAAACATATAGAGTGCCAGGCGGATCTCTCGATTGGATAATGGAGTGCAGGCACTACGACTCGTTTCCTATACATTATAAGCCCCATAAATAAGCTGCACTTACGCGCTCTCCCAGCTCACCTCATCAATGATGTATGCTTGCTTCTTTAGCCACAAGGACAAAGATTCGAGCGCTCTTTTTGTAATTTTATAAATAATAAAATGTCAAATAGGTCACCACGATTATGAAAAAATAAATTCATTCATTTGTCAACTTTTTCTTATAATTAATTGTCTTTTTAACCGATTTCAAAAAAGAGGAGGTTATGAATTCGTCTGTATTTTTTTTTCTTTAATCTTTGTTACCTCGGTACACTCGACTGGGTGAACTGTTTTTAATGGTTCTTATACCATTTGAAAGCTGGTGCTTCCAGAATGGTCCCATATAAATTTAGTCCAGTTCTGACAATGGCATCCATGAAAAAACAGCATACAAGTAAGTCTTAATTTGTATTAAGTATGTGCAAGACAAATGAACGAACAACTTTATATCACGATAACCGATTTCGATGATTCTTTTTTTATTGGAAAGGATGTACTTTAAGGGTACTTTGATGAGAGTTTGGTTAGGTTCTGCAAACGAGGACGTTCTCAATTCGACTGTATTTTTCATTGCTACCTCAGAACTTTCGACTGTGTAAACCGATTTTGATGATTCCTTTTGTATTTGAAAGCTGATGATTCCCATGTGGTCCCATTTCAATTTAGTCCAATTCTGACAATGGCATCCATGATTCTTAAAACATACAAAATGTTCATGGGTTTTAGATATCATGCGAAGGCACCCGGTAGATGAGTGTCAAATCTAAATGAGATATCATGTGAAATAGAATTTCAATTTCAGTATAATGCCGTCGAAAAAATCTAACCCCAGCGTTCGAAAAGCTCAAAAGTCAGAAGAACAAACTGCAACAAGAGCCGAAACTCAGCAAATCAGAACAGAAGATATTCGCTGATGACAGACAGACAGTGTGATGAACGTTTTCGACAAAATATATTGAGAACAAGAGTATCCACGACGAATTCTTTAGAACATGAAAAGTTCGCAAGACTCCTCTGTTGAAAGAGGAGTTTCTCCATGACTTCTTTTGCTACATTTAAGCGGTGCTGTCTCATATGAGAAACAAGGTCTACCCATATTCATACACATTAGTTAGTGTACTTCACATTCACTAAAAATCCAAAAATAAACAACAATTTAAACAAGAAAAAACCGATTTCAAACTATTAACAGGCACTAAAAAGTAAAAAATAATTGCGTATTTTTCTACAACTTAATATTCAATATATAATGTAGATACAATTATTGTTATTTTTGGAGTCGGTTTAAGCCAAGGAAACACTACAATATATCAATCAATCAATCAATCAATCTACCAGTAATAATATGAGAATACTTTAAGAAATACTTTTTTTTACAAATGAACTTTTATACGAACGACAATATACTGTGACAGATTACCAATACCTAATTAAACCCAATTTCAAATTAACTTTTATACGACAATACACGTATAACTACTGTGACAATATCTGCTATCTTGAAACAACAAATAAACCAGTACCTAGTTAAACGAATCAATTTTAATACGACACTATGCTGAGACATACGGGTAATCAAGGAAATGCTGATACGAAAATATAGTCAACATTAAACACAAGGAATTACCGTAAGAATGACGTAGTAGATATAGAAAGAGAAAATAATCTGAAATGGTTCGTAATGAAGTTCCTCTTTCTCTTGATTGGCGCGTTGCGCGACCGCTGACACCGACTCCAAAAAGAACAATAATTGTATCTACATTATATATTGAATATTAAGTTGTAGAAGAATACGCAATTATTTTTTACTTTTTAGTGCCTGTTAATAGTTTGAAATCGGTTTTTTTTTGTTTAAATTGTTGTTTATTTTTCACATTTTTATTTGTATTTACGAGTCCCGAATAGCAAATCTTGTAATCTGTTACTTGTTAGAGAGTTAACAATAACAGGAAAACATTTTTCCATTAGTAGGATAATATATATTCAAAGTAAATATTATATGTTCTTCAAATGAAAAAAACGATGCATCTTATAACTTCTTTTTCTCAATTTGTAATAAACTATTCTAATATCCAAATGCTTTTCTATTTGAATGTAAGTGAAAGAATTTCTTAACATTTTTAGTGCAGGTTGTAAAGGGAAATGGCAAATATCGTAATAAAAGCAGAAATAATTATACTATAGGAGGAAAAGGAATCTGGATTACAAAAAGTCAAACGGAACTGTTTAAATTTATTTATTTAATAATTTAATATTTCCACATGCCAAATGTCATGTTATAAATTAAAATTAAAATTATAATTAATTAAAGTGCTCTTAATATATAATATGTTTAATGAAGAAAGAATTGCAATTACCGCATGTATGTGTTAAGGACACAGTTCGATAGACTTCCCTCTTCAATCGTCCCCATTAGGATGATTAATCTTTTGAGGATTGTGCAAAAAAGATTGCTATTTTAGATGGATATAACTATTATGATAGTATCTTATAAAAGAGAATAAATAATTGTTATTATTTGGTTGTGTTTATTTGATCATTTTGCTTAAGTCATTAAAATCATATGTGTTTATTTGCTGTTTTTCTCGAATGTTGGATCCATAACTTTGAATTGAAAACCTTGATTTTAGATTTAAATTTAGAGTAAGATGTCAAAAACCCATTAATATGCTTTTTACAGAAAACAAAACTTGTAAGATTAATAAAGAATCTATAATCTTCCTAGGACATTAAACTACAATTGCAGTGTTAAAGAGAATCCTGTGTAGTTGATAATGTAATATTATTTATCCGAATTAATATTTAAGTTAAATGAATAAACGAATACAAGTAAGATTCAATTCCGTTTAAGGAGCTTCGTAACCCAATTTATAATGTTAAATCTATACTTGTCATACATTTATTTAGAATTTTAGAATTGAAATGCCCAATTAATTCAACTTATAAATTGATATTTCCAAATGAAATCAACTTAACGAACGATATTCGTACAATTGCAGAGTTACTTACTGTTTAACTCAGAATGTAATATGTACATATATGTAGATTATTCCCATCAACAAGTACCAATGTAAAACAGATAAAATAACGTTTCAATCAGAAATTGTTTTAATAATTAGATATCCAGATGTATACAAATGTTATAGCACAACAATTTGGGAATTATGTTTGTGTATAGACGCTATTTAGATCATGAAGCTGTCTTCTTAGATCACTTCATCTAATCGGTGTCCAGCTCCTTCGCCTGGGCCTTCAATTTGCTCTACAGACTGGATAAAGCAGTTGAACTGTGTTACCTCTTCCCACCCCATCATTATAAAGAATGTAAACAATGCTTCGTCTTATTGTATGATGTGACGGCTTGAGGTCTAAGCTCTTCCGGATTTCCGTTTTAGCTACACTTCTTTATGATCGGGACCGAAGGAAACTGTACGCCCACGGACCTTTGCTCCTTGCTAACCTGTATAACCATGCATTTGTGTATATGGCATTTGAAGAACAACTAATTTCCACTTACTACTTTGATTAGAACCGGCTTCGATAGGCTTTGCTGTGAACGTTCAGAATTCATTTTTATTGGTACTTGGAAACTAAAGATAAACCAGAAATTTTTCGGTTAATTTAAAGTGATAGGAATTTTGTTCAGCTTTCGACAAAGTGGAGAATACGAATAAGTTTTCTGTGAAATTTTAAATGGAATATGCCTGAAAACTAAACAAATGATATATTGATGCCTTGCACTTTTTATCGGAAGTCCATATACAGTGAAAACTCTCTTGGCCGGACACTCACGGTCGGCCAATTTTTGTCCGCCCAAGGGGAGTGTCCGCTTAAGGGGATACTTAAGGGGATACTTAAGTAACATTCGATCGTTGGTTTTAGAAAAACTGTCCGTCGAAGAGAGTGTCCGGATAAAAGAGGTGTCCATCAAGGGAGTTTTTACTGTAATTTGTTAACTATAGTTTTTTTAATTTTTAAAAGAACTCCAAAAACTAGCATTATCGACTGAGAAGTAAATGAAATCTTTCTATTGAAGTCTGTGACACATTATAAGAATAATAATACTTGTAGTTACAAAGGCCATTCAAAAAACATATGGTTTTAAAGAGGGCTAACTGATGTAGAGATCTTACCCACCATCAGCACTATTTAGTGAAGGGTAAACAAATTACTAAAGGATTTCCAGAAATCCAGAGCGATAATTTTCTTGAAATCCAATACATATTGTTCAAATTTTTGTTAGTTAAAAATCAACATTAGCAGTTAGTTCGATCTTGAGTATGACTCGGCTCTATCATGATCATCATCATCATCACCATCATCATCAATTGTGGCCAAATCAAACATTAAAAAAAAACAATATACAAAGTCTTTACTGAAAAAGAACCAACACCAGTCTTTGGTTTATGGTGTAAAAGCTATGGAGGCTCAAAATGGCACACACGCGGAGAGACGGTGGGCCAGACATGATTGTATCGAAACATCTTACTGATCATAAGATGAATAATTAAATAATAAATCGAGCAAACTTGATGATTGAACAATCAAAAACTAAGTTGAATTAGATTTTGCGACTTGTTGTTGCTTGCTTATCGTATCTCCAGAAGAGGACGTTTGAAAGTGCCTTTTTTCGGGATCAGAATTGCACTGAGAAAGAGGGTCCAGTTGGAATTGTCGCACACTCCCCCTCACCCGCTCGCTCATGAACACTTTCGTATGTGTGTCGTTGTCTCGAGTTCGCTTAGATGGCAGCTGGCGTCTACTTGTTCTTTTATGTTTGATTTCTTGGGCTGTTTGTTAATTCATAAACATTCTATGCATGTAGCGTGATAAACTGTACGAGTAATATTAACACTAAAACCGCCACCCACATCCACATCCACATCCACGCCAACGTCCACGTCCATATCCAGACCCAACGCCCCTCGCCCATAGAGACTGGAGACTATGCTTGGGCACACTTGAGCAGATGGGCCATACAGATACCACAAACATACACGCACAGATAGAGGCACACACATACAGACACAAATAAGTACGAGTGGCACATAAAGCCGAACAGCGCAGGCTTTTGTAATATGCGTAAAATGTATTTATGATAATGCAAAAAAGAATTACGTTAATGTTAATGCAAAACTGTTACGACAACAACGACAAGAACAATACAAGAAAATGATGACGGCGTAGAAAGTGGCGCAGGACTCTGCCTCTGTCTCTGCCTCTGCCTCGGTCGCTGCCACTGCCGCTGCCTCGGTCGCTGCTTCTGCCCATAACGTTATCATAAAAGCAGATAAATTCACCCGAAAGACAAACTCGTAAAGGCAAAATGTTTCATTCTATTAAAAATTTTTATTGCAAATTTGTAATTTACAATTTGCATTTGGTGTGCCTGGCTTCGTCTGCTTCTTCTCTTTATATGGCGCTCACTCACACGCCACCCCCAGCCCCACCCCCATCCGTCCCGCGCTCAGCCTTTGTGGCCTCCAAATGTCAGGAAGCGAGGACATGCAAGGAAGGCCGCACTTACCGTTTGACTTGCGACTGATGCTTTTGCTTTTGCTTTTGTTTTTGTTTTTGTTGTTGCTGTGTGGCTCCATTTTATAACGGCTATTCATAATAAAAAAAAAGATGTTATAGAACATCATGAAAATGCAACACGAAATGGCAAGCCAAGGCACTGGCAGTCAGCAGCATCCGATGGCTCTGATGGCTCTGATGGTTTCGATGGCTTCGATGGCACAGACATCACATGTAATTTCTTTCTAATAAGCGTGCGGCAGAAGGGCTCATGAGCGGGCATCTTGAGAGCGGCAGCCATAGGGCCCATATGCCCTACACCTGACACTGTCGTTGCAAAATTTTAATAACATGTCATAAAATATTTGTTGTGCCTACATGCCCATAAAAAAGTCATTACACCCATACATACATAAATGCACACATGCACACACACACACACATACAAGCATACATATGTCCATATGAATATGGCAGTGTGTGAGCGGCGAGTCCTGAGACCTGAGTCCTGACAATAGACAAGAACAGTCGCCAGAGAGCTCTCTATCGGCAATTGCATCAGCGGCGACTTGGTCGTAATATTTTCGCGGCCCTCCTAAATGAAATTGCATGAAAATAATAAATATTTTGCTGTCCATTTTCGCTGTTGTTTCTTTTATTTATTTATTTATTTATTTTATTTTTTACTTCTTGTTTTGTTCAATTTTTCTATAAGCCTTCAGTTATGCTTGTCTCTCTGGCTTTTACGATCATCCATAAAAAGGGCCAGCGCGACCAATCGGCCGACTTCAATCAACGCGGCGGCGGCGGCGGCGACGACAGCCAAGTCAACTGGCTTGGGAGCCATACTTTAGACCAAGCTGCCAAAGGCTTGTTTGTTAATATGGTATTATTGGCATATGACAGCATATGCCAATTGGCATGCGAAATGAGAGCCGCGCCCAAAACCACCGGCATTATGATCCGACTTTTGTTTTATGACCAAAGATTTACGCTGGCCGATAAACGCAAATGAGCGCGATTTTGGACTCGCTACAATCTGATATGCCAGTAATACTTGTATATATATAATATTGTACCTACTCGTTCCACTGTACTTCTTGGTATATTGGTATTGGTATAGTGCAATTCCTCGTTAATAAATATGCTGCATGCTTTGCCCATAGATGTCGAGCTATGTGTTTTTGCTTACAATCTATTTACCTATTGTTCGAGAAAAGTTCGACAGGAACTACCCAGTAGCAAATTAGTTAGCGAAAATGGTGCATGTACGAGTATGTATGAATATACTTATGTGCATATTTATATGTGTATGAGTCCGATATTCGGAACAAGGATATTCGAATCTGGCTTTGCTCATCATTCAGAAATTTCTTTAAAGAAGCAAAAAGAAGAGGCGAGTGGAATTGTTTCGCTTATAGCTTTGGAAGAAATTGAAAACAAAATTATATATATGCACCTAATTCTGTTTTTACACGGTAGATTGGTTCCAGACACAACCGTGTACAAAAAGACATTGATCATATGCAAAAATAGAGAATTGGTTCCTTATCTCTAAATAAATATATGTATATGCAGTCTTGAATTTTCAAACCGTGTTATATCAAAATCGTGTGAAAAAAGACCGTGTAAAAACAGAATTAGGTGTATGTATTATTATGTTATTGGTTTATGTAACTATGGAGTTATGAGTTGACGAAATTCTGTACCGGGGGTTGAGGAGAGTCCACATGACAGGTAATGTATAGGCTCTCCAAAATCCACACGTTCATCAGGACAGAAGGACACATCTAGATGAATTTAATTTTTCATTTAATTACTTTTTTAATTTTAATTAAATTAAATTAATTTTTTTAATAATTTTGTCTATAGTAAAGCGATTTTTATAAAAGTTCATTTCATGGTGGGGCACAATTACCATTTTGGTGAAGTTATCTCAGTCAGCAAAAACTTATATTAGAGGGATTTTTGACCGAGCTGGGCTTTGTGTGTCCGTTTCGTGTCATTTGCTCTTGTGATTCTAATATTCTCTAATTAGTTCATACAGACGGAAGAATGGTCAGATGATCATATACTATGTAACTGCTTCTTCCTGTATACCTATACTGGGTATACCACCTCTTCCTATAAATAGTAATAACAATATGTGGCCTGTTGTACAATTATTAGTTGTAATGTGCTTCTGCTTCAAATAAATATCAAATCGACCAACAGCTGCACCTCCTATAAGTTAATCGATGTAAAAATCTGGATATCAATGGTGTCCTAAAAGAAACACCTTTGGCGTGCACCAACCCCACGTCTATTCTCTTATATTAGCGATTTTCACTAGGAACTATGCGCTATTAGTTCCCTCTGCTATAAATCGTTCCTAAAATTAGAATTTTTTAGAGGAATCGACTGCTTTTGTTTTTTTCTGAGTGTACTAACAATAGTTGTGCATCTAAAACTTTAATCGTTTTTTTCAGTTGTTACTCGTATTTGCCGACCACGATCAATATATCAGTAAGAAATCCAATATTTTAGTTCGGCTTCGCATAGAAAAAAAGTATAAATATTAAAAAACTTGTATACGTTAGTTTAGTATTAAGTTAGGTTTAAGTTAAAGCCTAATAGCTTTATGGATTTTTTTGCTTTATTTTTTCCCGCTTTACACTGTCGATTGTTGTTAACCATTTTTAGTTCTCCATTTCATTCAATTAAATAGAAAAGGCTAAGCTGCCTGTACTCTTAAAATTAAGATATCATTACCTCACTTCTAATTCATAATGTTTTTAAGAAATGTGAATAAACTGAAATTGAAAAAATTGGAAATTGAGGCCATACTAATATTTGCTAGAGTCTTTCAGTTTTTGATTGCGGCCTAGGACCTGTTCAGTTTCAATGCGATGCATAGTATATACATACGTATGTATATATATGTATATATATGTACCAGTCATTAGGAGTAGATGAAGATTGTTCAAAATCGAACTCTGTTCCTCAAATGTCATTGCCAGCAGAGCGAGGTTCAATTAAGGCTGAGGCGGCGCCTACGCAACGTTTTCTTATTGTTAGTCAGAAGTGGCAAGCCGCAGTCGTCGCAGTTGCCCCTAAGCACAATAAATGGGCAAGGGCATGTGGGTGTGTATGTGTGTGT